ATAGTGCCACTGCTGCTTTGGAAGAAGGAAGGGTACATTGGGCATAAACCAGCAGTCTTCGGCCCAGGCCCTTGAGTTGCTCTCTGAGCTGCTTTGCAGCTCTGGGTGCAGCCCAGCCTTGTGCTGGTGTCTAAGGCCTTGGTGTGAGAGAGAATAACAGGGCCTGTATCGTCCAGTGTGTGGCCACCAGCCAGATGTGGTGATTTAGGTTTACATTTGAATTAAGTAGAAAAAAAATTTTCCCAGAGAAACTGGTTTATTTATCATTTTTAGAGCAAAATGAGATGCCTTATACCCTTTTTTAAAAAAACAAACATTTTGTCAGCTGAAGAAGTCAGCACTTCAGCATAGGAAGCTTCTAGAGATGCATGCTGGGCTGCGTGACACAGCTCACAGCTGTGTGACTGGGGCTGTTTATTGAACACGGGGCTTCCACCTGTGGCTGGTGTCTCCTCGCCCCAACACACCCACTTGGCCCTCACCACTCCCCACCTTGAGTCCTGTACAGGGCCCTTTCATGAGTGAACAGGGACCGGCTGACCTCATCCCATCCTGGTATTTGTTCAGTCCTTTTGGCAGACAGGGTGACGGCCCAGAAGACAAGCAGTAGTGGAACTTCATTGCGTGTTTGGAGTAGTTTCTTTCCACATTACCCACGCAGGCAGCTTCAGTGGCCTGGGCTGCAATCACCTCTAGCTGCCTGGAGTTCTCTGGGTATAATGGAGAACAACTCAGGTTCCATAGATGGAACAAAACAGTGAGACAGACAGCAGGAGAGTTGCTTGGCAGGGGTGTTAAACTTACTTATTTTCTTTCTTTCTTTGGTTCGTTTGTTCATTCACTTGCTTGCTGTGATAGGTCTCAAACCCAAACCCCACAACATGCTAGGCAAGTGTTCTGTCACTTAACTACATCTCAGCCCAGAGTCTCGCCTCTTATTAGCGTTACAGACCCTGCGCAGCAGAAGTGCTAACATGTGCACCAGGGAGCTTCTTTGGAAGGAGTGCCCTACCCCACATCTCCAACCACCCCAAAGCAGGTTTCCCTTTGTGCCTCAGCCCAAGGCTGCATCCAGCTGAGCAAGATGTCCGTGCCTTCCTGCCCTCAGACAGAAGATAAACTCCATTCAGCCCAGAGCCACTGCCATGGCCAGCAGCAACAGCAGCAGGCTGACTGCAGGCACCTGAGGAGCTCTAGTGTTCCCTGTCTTGGTCTGGACTTACCTGCGAGTTGCCAGTGCATCTCTGAATTTCATTCCGTGTTAAAACAGCTCTGGGGGTCTGCTGCATACCATGCCTTTCATTAAGTTTTAAAAATTAAAAATTTACTTTCTGAGTCACAGTCCCCACATCAGAAGGGCGCAGTGGCCACATGTGGCTAGTAGTGACTGTATTGGAGCAGAAGCTTTTTTTGAATATCACAAGCAACGACAACTTCCTGTCGGTGTCCCCAGCCAAATGTTGGGCTTGACTTTGACTTCCCTTGACACTTCTACAAATAGTGTGCGGGATGTTGCCTTGAGTACCCCACGCTGTGCAGTGGGTCAGCTGAGGTCAAGCGCATCAAGAGCCGGCCCAGGAAGAGCCCTGGACTGACAAAGCATTGGATCCTCTGCGGGTTTCAGTGGGGTGATTCTCCCTAGTGGGAGGTGCGGGATGGCAGAGGTAGAGACTGGTCGTCTGGTTCATGTTATTTTTGTGGGAGGGTCGGATCGAAAGAGGAATCGAGCCGGCCTGTATACCCTATTTCAGAATCACAAAGGCTGCACTTGGTGGTGGATGATTTTGCTGAGTGTTGCCCTAACCCAGGAGATGGGGAAGGGCTTACACATGTCTGTTTTCTGAAATTCATGGTATTTTTAGCTGCAAAGAGTTTAGAACAGATTTAAGTGCACAGTGGATAATAGTAACTTTCACAGCTGAGTGATCTCAGAGGACATCTGTTCCAGTGCTATTCAAATACTCGCTGACTGGCTTTGAGCCTTTGTTTTTCTTTTGACAATGATAAGCATTAGAAGGAGGGAATGAAGATTTCAGGATCTATCCTAAGGCAGTTAAATTGGGTGGGGGCTCAGAATCCTCTTAGAAGGGAGTTTGCCCTGATGTGGGTCCCCTGCTCGCTGGTGGAAAGCTTAGCTGTCTAACAGAAACCTTGAGGTGGTGTAGATGCGTGTGCCCACAGTGAAGGGCCGCTCAGGGCCAAGAGTCTCCCCAGCTCCTTCGCCTACCAGCCCTGCTTCCTCGACTGCATGCTTGTCGAGTGCCACCATGAAAGCGCTGCTGGTCCCCAGGATCTGCCCATAGCGTTGGGCTGGGCTTTGCAGGGCAGAGTGGGTCCCGCCAGATCTGGTGTTTGGTGTGAGTCAGTGCTTCTTCCTCTTAGGAAGTTTTTAACTGGACCCGATGTAGTTGCCTCCCACTTCTCCCTCCCTGACCCTCAGCAGCACTGTGGGATGAGGTATGTCTCCTCCTCCCCTCACCGTGCATGATAACAAATGTGAAGCTTAAATGACTTGGTAATGTAGGAAGCATTGTAGAACAGTTCAGGAAGGTTAGACTGCTATTACTATTTATCCTTGGTGTCCTTTCTACTGCTTAGCTGCCCTTCTTTACCTCCCAGCTTCTGAGCGGGCTGCAGAGGTGCAGCCTCTCAGCTAGCACTGTCATGACAGACCCCGGCAGGCAGCACAGGTTTCCCACTGTGTGGAAGCGTCAGGCATGGCACAAAGCAGCAGTGTGTGCCAGGCCCTGGGGTATGTTCTTTTTAAAACTCTGTGTTTCATGGCATGGTATACTTAGCAAACCAGGGTTGTGCCGGGCCAGAAATAAGATAGGTGCACATGTCAGCACCATCCTGAGCATTACAGAGCCTCTGCATCCAGCCTGGTGCTGCCTGCTATAGTGGGAGCCCTCTCCTCAGTCTTCAGGAGCCAGGGCTGAGCAGAAGTCCCTGTTCACATTCATTCATCCTGTAGACATTTCCCTGGGCTGGCTGTCCGGTGACTGACTGTTCCAGAATGGGTTCCATGGTTCGATGGGGACACAGTGAAGGAGCATCAAGGCAAGTCCAGCAGTCTCACCCCTTGCCCTGTGATCCTAGGGCTAAGCCTAAGCCTCAGGTACATTGCCATGACAACCTTAACAGGCCCATTCTTACTCTAACCAGGCTCAGTTAGTTCCCTTGCAGGTTCCCAAGTGGGACCCTGTGGCTCCAGTACCGCCCTACGCCCCAACGCATGCTCTGAGAGCACCCACTTTCCTAGAGGAATTATCATTGGAAAGATTTTGAAATGTTGTCCAGCCCTAAATTTTACATCTAAGGCAAAATCACCCAGAGAGGAGGATGGATTGGTTAGGCTCACACAGCAGTGAGACCCTCTGGGTGTCAGTGCATGCAAGGTACCCCCTGTGACTCCTGAGGTTGCAGGGGCCTGGCTGCTTAGTCTCTGCGTGACACCAGGCTGAAAGCTCCAGTGTTCCTTCCTATTCTGGCAGCTCGTCTCCCCAGCCAGTTGATCCTGTCCTGAGTTGTAGAACCAGAGCCTACCTTGTCCCCCACTCAGCATCTCTCAAGGCCCCTTTCACTCCTCCTAATCTGATGCCATCAGACATGAAGTGTGCAGTGAGAATCTGGGCAGGGTGACACACATCTGTGATCCCAGTGCTTTGGAGGCTGAGGCAGGAGGATCACAAGTTGAAGGCCACCCTAGATAATGTGGTGTGACCCTGCCTCAAAAAAGAACTGTGCAGTAACCCAAGAGTTGCTACCTCTGCTGTCATTGTGCATGCAGCAGGTAGTTTGGGACGATACTGCCCAAGAGCAGATAACACCTGCAGTTTGCATTGCCTGTGTGGTGGGAGGTTTGAGAAGCCTTTGCAGGTACAGAGGCAGAGAGTCCTCTGCACACACACAGCATCGCAGGTGAGAGTGACCAGCTTGGAAGCTGCTGGATTCATTGGCTGGAGCTCATACCCTCCCTGAGGACAGAGGTGGTGAACCTATAGCACACAGGCTGCAGCAGGCCATTTGTATGGCTGACCCCAGATAAAGAAGTGGCATGAATTTGTCCAGAACCTGCATGTGTTCCTGTCACCTTTCTGATCATTTACAGAATTTTTCCACTTTTCTCTTTTACATTTACAATGAGAGCAGCACAGCCAGCTGATCCTGTCCTGCAGGCAGGGAACACAACATACTCTGGGCCTTTCTGTTCTAATTTTCTGTTTTCTAGCCCTCTTTGTTCTGGGTCACCTAAGGACCGTGTGCCAGGGTGTCCGAATGTCACATTTGTAATGGCCCCAAGCTAGAAACTGCCTCAGTCCCAACTCACAGAAGAAGAGGTAAATAAATTACAGGATAGTCACACCGTGGAACACTGTGCTGCAGCAATTAAAGTGAATGTGTTACATATAAAAATGTGGGTGCATCTGACAAACTTTATATTAACTGAGATAAAGAAGCCAGACACAAAAGATGCGTATCAAAAAGTTTCATACTTTGGAGGATTAAAGTAAGATAAAACCAGTCTGTGCTGTGAGAGGTGAAGACAGTGGGTGCCTAAGGTGGAAGGGATCACTGGAACTTTCTGAGGTATGGGTTGCACTCTGCGTGCTGGTCAGGGAGCTGGCCATGTGGGTATGTTCAGAATACTGTGAAAATTCATCAAGCCATACACTTAGAGTTTGCATACTTTCCTTGTGAATGTTTTAGTTGAATAAAGCATTCAGTTTTAATAAAAACAACCCAAAGACACTGTAGTCTGCCCAAACTGTGTTTGACCCAAGACTGTTGTCAGCTATTGTAAGTCTCTGGCTAATGTGCCCCTACCGCTTTGTTCTGTAAATAGGAAGATAAAAGATGTCCCTTCCATCTTATGCCCTGGTCCAGGAAAGCCAGGGATGGGCCTTTAAGGTAGAGCCAGTGTGCCCCCACTGTCCCTCTGCATCCTCACCCTCAAGGGTGCCATAACGACATCCCGGGCTTTACTCTCCCCTGTGCAGAACATTGTCGCCGTGGGAGCTGGGTTTTGTGACGGCCTCTGCTGTGGAGACAACACCAAAGCTGCGGTCATCCGCCTGGGCCTAATGGAAATGATCTCCTTCGCCAAGATCTTCTGCAAAGGCCAGGTGTCCACAGCCACCTTTCTGGAGAGCTGTGGGGTAGCTGACCTGATCACCACCTGCTACGGAGGGCGGAACCGCAGGGTGGCCGAGGCATTCGCCAGAACGGGAAAGGTAACTCCCACCCTCCTGTCCCTCTATCTTCACCCCTCAAAGGTCCCTGTTCTTCAGTCACCCCGAGTGCTTTCATGGGACTCCTCTGGTCTTTATATGTCTTTATCTTTGATTCACAGCAGGGACTGAAGCTGTTCTCTCCCACTTTCCTCTCGAAATGAATGGTTCTCTAGTGTTTACTCTGGATTTTTTTTATCTTTTGCTTTTAAGACCATTGAAGAATTGGAAAAGGAGATGCTGAATGGGCAGAAGCTCCAGGGACCTCAGACTTCTGCCGAAGTGTACCGCATCCTCAAACAGAAAGCACTCACTGACAAGTAAGCCTCCCTCATTGTCTGTGCAGCATCTTCCAGAAGACAAGCACCACTGTTAGACAAGTGGACCTAGAACTTGATTCGTTGAGTCCTCTGTGCGATGTGAACATCTATGACAGGAAGTATCTACCTACCCCAAATACAAATGTTTATACAAGTCTCAACTTCTGTGAAAAGACCTATGAGGGAGAAGTATTACACAATATGAGCCTTTAGAGTCTTGTTTGTCTGATAGTGTTCAGGAAAGCTACGTGCCATAAGTTTAAAAGTTTTCAAAAATAATTACTTTTTTTAAAAAATAAAAAGGTATAACCATGTGAATAAAGTATCAAACAATTCAGAAAACAAGGAAAGACAAGCCCATCTCAGAATTCTGCTGTCCAAGGGACCTGTGTTAAGGTTGGGGACACATTCTTGCCATCTCTCTGTCATGTGGGTGACTGGCTGCCTGGATCTGTCTCCCCCTTTCCTTCCAGGCCAGGCATGTGTAAGGTGGGCTGGTCACCTGATTGAGGAGTTAGCCCTGGAGCACCACAAGCTGCCTAACCTCCGCAAGGCCGCTGCTAGCTGTGCCTCCCACACAACCCTTCACACTGTTGAGTTACTAAACTCCTCCCCAGGGCTAAGATGTCAGCACCACCTTATTCAGCCTTGCACAGCACGCTGTGTTGGTCAACTTTCTGTAACTTAAGTTAAATCAACAGAAAGAGAAATTGTTTACTTTGGCTTAAGGTTTCAGAGGTTTCAGTTCATGGTCAGTTAATACTGCCACTTTGGGGCTGTGACTGCACAGTTCATCATGGTTGGACTGTATAGCAGATGAGGATATTTACCTCATGGAGACTGAGAAGAAAAGAGTGATAGGAAGGGGCTAGGTTTCAAATTCCTTTCAAAGGCATACTAGTAATACCCTACCTTACCTGCCTCTTACTAGGCTCCTCCTAAAGGTCCCAGCATGGGCTCATGACCAAACCTTTAACACATGGACCTCTGGGGCACTTCAGATTCAAAGTGTAGCACTGTGCATCCTCACCTCCCCACAATATTCCTTGGTTATCTGGGCAGCTGTACTGATGCTGTTACTTGGAACTTGTCTAGAATGTGTACTTCTGTCAAGCCAGGAGATGGTTTGCAGATGTTGGTCTTAAGTTACTTTTCTCATTGCTGAGACAAAATATCCAACACTCAGTGATAAGGGGAAAAGGTTTATTTAACTCACAGTTTTTAGAGGTATGTGTCCATAATCAGCTGGCTCCAAGGCAGGGTGGCACAGCAGAGGGGCAAGCATTCCTGGTGGTAGAAGATACCAAATGCAGTGGAACGGAGGGAGAGAGACAAGCCTTTCCTTCCTTTATATTGTATGCAAGTCACCTATCCTGGGGTGGTGTAACACTCACCCACAATCCCAGCACTAGACAATGAACCAATCACAAACTCTCGGTTCACCTGCCTCCAAAAAGCCCTCTACCCATGACCTCATGAGGCTTTGGGGGGACATCCAGACACAAACCATAACATTCCACCCCTGAGCCTCTAAAGACTCATGTATATCTCTTTATACAAAAGGCATTTAGTCCACCTCTAAGAGTTGCCAGTCCTAACAGTTTCAGCATTACTGAAGAATTCAAGTCCCAAGTCTCCCCTGAGATGTATGGCAGATTCTTAGCTGTGAGCCCCTGTACAAATGAAAAGGAAGTTAAACACTTCCAATATTCAGTGGCACAAGAGAGACATTTCTGTTCCAAAAGCTACAAACAGGTGGATACAAAGGAATAGGACAAAACAACTCCAAATTCTATCAGGGCAAACTGTAGTTCCAGTGTGCAACATCCCAGGCAATCTGTGGCAAGATGTGAACTATAAAGAGTTTGGGTGGCTCCACATCTACAGCACTTCTGGTGGTGGTGGTGGTGGTGGTGGTAGCAGCTCCCATGGCTTCTCTCTTGAGCCTGCTCTGCTCTCCTTGCAGTTTTCCTCAGATGATCCATGTTCCTGGCTTCTCTAAACATCTGAGGTCTACAGTGCATCTTTGGCTTCACACTCACAGCTTCATACACTTCCCTCTCGGGAACACTGCCTGGCCTCTCAGGCCTTCTGAAATATGGGAGGAAGCCTTCTTAACCCCATAACTCTTGCATTCTGCATGCACCTAAAACCAGCACCACATGGATAATAGTCTGCTGCCAGTGGGAACAGTAGCCAGGGTTCCTTTTTTCTTTGTTTCAGGGTCGAGTGCCTGGATCACTGGGCAGTCTGAATCCAATTCTGGAGAACAAATTCTTTGTGCTGCCATCATTCAGGAACATGATGCCCTGTGGCTTCTCAAAGCAAAGCCATTCATTTTTGAAATTTTGAGGCTGCAAAGGGTGGAGTCCTGCTGCTTCTTACAATGCCCTCAGGCTGTCTTTTCTATTTTCCTGTTCCTTCTCAACACTCAAGATCTCCTCTGCTCTATCTTTGCAGACCACAGCTTTATTGAAGCATTCCTTTCTGGCCAAACTCAGTGTTTTAAATCATTCTGCTGGCCTCTTTGTTCTTGATTCGCAACATAAATCTGGCAAAAAGCCCCCAATAATAACCATGCCACCACTTCCAACAATTGACTGCCTTGTAATTTCTTCTGTAAGATTAACTAGTCTACAGCCCTTAATCTCAGTCTCAGCCAAAGTATCTGGACACTAGAAAAATGCTAACTAACTTTCTGCCAACCCATAGCACACATTATCTGGAGTCCAGCAGTCAGTGAGTCCTTCCCCCTAGAAACCTCGCAAGCCTGGTAATGGCAGGATTTCTATCAGCCTTCTGTCTTCTAAGCTCTGACCAGAATCTCCCATACAGAATAGCCTAAGGCATTCCAACTCTGCTTTTTCAGCAGCATCTCCAAATCTTTCCAAACTTTTCCCACAAGCCATCTCCCAAGACTCCTGAACCACGTGGTCAGGTATGGTCCCAGCTACCATCCCACTTCTCAGGTACCAAATTCTGTCTTAGTTACTTTTCTTGTTGCTGAGACAAAATACTCAACACCCAGTATTAAAGTGGGAAAGGTTTATTTAACTCACAGCTTGTAAAAGTTTATAATCAGGTGGCTCCAAGGCAGGATGGTGTGGCAGAGGGGCAGCCATTCAGGGTAATAAAAGCTATCAAAAGCAACAAAAATGAGAGAGAAGCCTTTTCTGCCTTATCTTGTATGCAAGCTACCTGCTCTAGAGCAGTGTAGGACTCACACCCCCAATCCCAGTACTAGACACAAACTCTAGATTCAGGCGCCTCTGGGAAACCTGGACCTCATGAGGCTTTAGGGGGACATCCAGATACAAACCCTAACGATGTCTCTGGCAGCGTCTCCTTTACTCTTGCTCAGTCCAACTGCCTGCTGGTTCCTACCATGTACCTTCAGCTTGCTCTGCACTCAGCTCCTCTCATCCTCTTTTTTACCCAGTCAGAATTAGCAGCCTTGGAGTTCCCAATGAAAACCTCAAAAAGGTGGGGCATTAGTTTTCCCATTTTAATTTGTACCTTATTTTTTTGAAATGGCTTTTAAAGCTACCTAGGGAGGTAGAGGATTGTAGACAGGAAGGGGTAGGATCTTAAATTGTGACCAAGGGGAAGGCATGGTTACCATGCATGGCCTTCCTTACCTACCTCGTGGACTCTGGCATGTTGGTATGTCTTGGGGCTACTTTAACAACCATTTTTTACTTTAATAACATCAGGATTTTCACTTCATTGATTGATCGATTATTTGGTTGATTATAGTTGAACTTGTGATTCTTCTGCCTCAGTATCTCAAGTAAACAGCTAGGAATTATAAGCACATGCTGCTATGCAGGAAATTTTTTAAAGTCTCAAAATCCTTGGGTGTTTGGTCAGGGCAAGAGTCTCCCAAGCAGGATTTTCAAGTGGCCTCTATGTGCTGCTGATTCTGTGGACGGGCAGGTTGGTGGGCGCTGTCTGTATTCGTGGTTAGCCCTTTGGAAAAGGCACTGGGTCTGGGTTGCTGGAGTGGTGGCTGCCTTACTGCAGCAAAGCTGCTCAGAACACAAACCTCCTCAGCTAGACCTCTCTCTTAGCTTGGCCTCACAGGCTGTGTGGCTTGAACAGTAGAAATGTATTCTGTCCCAGTCCTGGAGCTTGGAAGTCTGAGATCAAGGTGTCAGCATAGTTGGTGCTTTGGAGGCCTCTCTCCTTGGCATGTAGGTGTCTGTCTTCTCGCTGTGTCTCTCTCATCTGACTACACTGTCTGTGTCCTGCGTCCTCTTCTTAGAGAGATACTTCAGGGTCTTCATTTTCATGTGTCCTCTCTCTAGTGGTCTGGGGTTCAAACACAGCCCACCCAGGGTCCTGGGGTGAGGACTTCAGCCTGTGAACTGGGAGGAGGACACAGTGCGGTCTATGGCAGTGTTGCAAGCTCCCCGGGGACTGGGGCTTATTCATAGCTCATCCCCACAGCAGGCCTGAAGCCAGACACTGCCCCGGTCCCCCATGTCCTTTGGATGGTGGACTGTCTGGTTTGTGTTAATTCTTTTCTGTGAAGTGTTATCACTTGACCTCTTTTTACCTCTAACTTTATTAAGAGTTTCCCAAACAGATCTAACTGGCCTTAGAGCATTTTGTGTTATAGAAAAGTAGCATTTAAATGAAGTGTAGCTTTATGGTTGAGTGTTGACTCAGAGCCAGAAACCATGCCTCAGCTTCCTCATCTGTAGAATGGGCTCTGCTCTAAAGAGGTACCATGGAGGAGAAGGTTAGAGATGTTGGTTTAGTGGCTGTGGATAAGAATCTCAGATCCTTGCATCTCCTCTGGAACCTTGGGGTGTCTGCACCATCTCTGAGCATCACAAACTGACACAGCTGCTCTTGGAAAGAACAGAAGCAGTCAAGAGTAGCAGTTTCTCCTCCAGTGCCTCTCAAGGAGAGAAACATCTTCCCCAGAAAGCTTAGAGAACTGAATGGCATGGATAAGTTAGGTGCGTTGGGAATAGCATTGGGTCATCATTCATCACATACCACACTGCTTTGGGGACATACACTTGGTTCTCATCTTAGGAACTGGGAAGCTAAGACATGGAAGCACAAAAAGAGGGGGAGCTGAAATTTCCAGGCTCTGCATTGAATTTATAAGAAATCAACACGTACTCACTGAGATCTGCCCCTTGCTGGACACCATGCCCCGCAATAGCAAAGCAGTCTCAGCCATCTCTGGGCCAGGGCCATCCTATGGCTGCAGTTAGAAGCTGTCCTTATGAATGCCTACCAAGATCCTTACCAAGAATGCCACTTACCAAGATCCTTACCATACCCTCAACATATAAAGCATCCAGTACACAATCCTATGCATCCAGCCCCATTTCATAGGTGGGGAAGTAGTCAGAGGCTGTATAAAACTTGGCCAGAGTGTACAGGCTGAGAAGTCAGATTTGATTGACTCTACTGACTACAGAAAACAACATAGCAGCCCATACCTTTAAAAACCTCCAACGATGGATTTTCATGAAGACATGTGATATCCTAGGACCATTTGTTCTTAAACTAAGTTGTCATTAAGTATTATACTCGGATAATTTTCAGGATGGCTTTTATAGGTCTGCTGATTCTGTCAAGCTCACTTTGGGTTTTGTGTGTGTGTGTGCGCACATGTTTATGTATGTAAGTTGAAATTAATTATTCCTCTAGTAATTTCTGCCAGAAAAAAAACAAACCAACCAGACAAAACAACAACAAAAACAAAACTTGCTGAGCCAGCTCTACCCTGGCATGTTACCTTTTCTTGCCATGGATTATTACCTGCTGCCTTGTACCTTTCACTTATATGCATTCACACCTTGGAAGAAAAGGCAGGATAAATCAAGCTTGCAGCCTGAGATTGGGGCTTTGCTAATTGTGGGTCTGGTCTTGGATCCTTGCAGGAGAGTTCCAGGCCTGAATTATTTATGGTGGCATGTGGGCTGCCTCACTGTCATCGAGGAATGATGCTTTTTAGGGGCGGGAGAGCAAAACCTCCTTGCAGTTTAAAATTCATTCTCCAAACCCTTTAATGCAGTGATAGAAACTTGGATTCATCCCAGATTTGGCCATGATGCTGAGCCACAGCTTTTTCTGTAAATGGACCACCATGGGTCCGGGAGGGATGACCATGTGACTGAGCATTGCAAACTTATCAGGCAGAAGGTTCTAGGTGGTCCCAGGGTCTGGCAAGTGCAGTGCAGAGACTCTGGACTCTACAGACCGAATAATAAAGGTCTGTGAGAAATGGTCCCTGTGTTTTGCTGCAGTCTGTGAAGCAGCACAGAAAACTGCATCTGTTCTAGGAGGTAAACCAGATGGTCTAACTTGTCTTTTCACATTTCCTCCTGCCCAGGTTCCCACTGTTTACTGCAGTGTATCAGATCTGCTACGAAGGCAGACCCGTCTCAGAGATGCTGTCCTGTCTCCAGAGCCATCCAGAGCACACATAATGTGAATCATGTACTAGGCTGTGTATTGTTCTGCCTCTCCCATCGGTCTTTTGGATTCATGTGGAAACCAAGACCTGGCAACAAGGTGTTTGCTTCACTGTACTCCCATCATGGATATCTATGAATTATTACAAACTCATTTTGAATTCAAGGCAGTTCGTTGGGTAAGACACACTGGGCAACAACGAAACACACATATGAACATGTGCGTGTGTGTATACCTGCTCATTGTTCATTCTGTGCGTGTTTCTGTGAGCCATAGTTTTATGTCCTTTTAAAATAGATTGCATTTCAAATTTCTCTACTAGGTAGTCATTATGATTGGAATTATATCAGCCAAATTTTTTAGATGCAACTCACATGTGTTTGAATGGAAGAATTATTTTTTTCTCAATTTTTTAAAATGATAAATTTGACCAGCATTAAAATGGTGGGTTGGATGGAAGGGAAAATGTATTCAAAGGTCACCATATTTAACTTTCAAACACTGTCTTGAAACCAGCATAATCATCTGCTACTTTGATTGTGAGTTGATCTTTTTTCAAACAATTAGATGTTTTAAATTACGAACCCACATTTTTCTCTCACTGCAGTTTTCTGCATTATTTAGGCACCTTTCTCTTCTTTAGCTGCAAGAATGTGCTTTTGTAAAGACACAGTGGTAGCTGAGGATTTAGCTCAGTGGTGTAAGTACCTGCCTGGCAAGTGCAAGGTTTTGAGTTTGATTGCTGGTACCAAGAAAAAAAAAAAAAAAAAAAAAGTCAGAACCCTGAGATTTTCCTGCTGTGAACATACACTTGTGTGATGCGCTGTTAGGTGGTGCTTTTTGCAGATATTTCTCTTAAATCTCACAGAATCCCTGAGAGGGGGCTGCTGTTGTCCCTCTTATAAGATGCAGTCACTGCACCTGGTCATGGGGTGAGGAAGGACAAAACAGGAGTCGGATGCATTGTCCTTCCACCCCACCAAGGTGCAGGACCTTTTAAGACATCACCAGACTCACCTGAGCTCAGCCTGACAGCTTGTGGCAAATGCATATGTAGCCTTTCCTGAGGCCACAGTGGGGCTTCCTGCAGCTGAGAATTGTGTGGGTCAGGGTCTTGATGGCCATCATTCCACATACGATCCCTCTACCACCAGCACCACCTTACCTCTTAGAAACGCACAATTTGAAGCTGGGTATGGTGCATACACCTGGCATCCCAGCTACTCAGGAGGGTAAGGCAGTAGGAACCCAAGTTCAAGTCCAGCCTAGACAACTTAAACAACAATCTTGTCTCAAAATTTTAAAAAGGTTGAGGCTGCAGCTCAGGGGTAGAACACTTGCTTAACATGAGGGAGGTCCTGGGTTCAGCTCCAGCAGCAGAGGAATAAAAGGATGCCAGGCCCCACCCAAACCTCTGAAGTGGCACCTCTGTTTCAAACTGCCTTCTGTGTATTTTGGATGCTTACTAGAATTTGAGAACCACTACTGTAGAAAATTTACTTTAACATGGTTATCCACAGACCATCTACTCAGAATGTCCTGGCCTCCAGGGAATGTTCCAAGGTCCCCTGAAAAATCAGGTCACTTAGAGAAGCTGCACTGTGTACTCCTCTTGAAGGTGTAGAATGTATGTTTGGATCTCAGTGCAACCTTTTTTTTTAACTGAAGTCCCAAACATGTTAGACCTTAGAGATCGTTTGGCAAGGAGACTAAATTAGCCAAAGTTTCTGGGGAACACTGCTGCTGGTGAAAGTGACATTTGGACAACCCAAGTAGACCCTGTGAGAAATAAAGACGAAACGCCTGCCTATGATGGTGTTAATTCTGGACTTAACACCTGGGATCTGCCATGAACCTTCGATGAAGCTTTAAGGTGACACTAGCAAGTATATAACCAACTAGATGCCAACCTTGCTGAAACGCATATTATGTGGAGTAAGTGCTTTTAGTTCTAGAATTAAAATCGGAATTACTGTACCTTCTGAAATGCAATTGGTTTCATAATAGCATTCCAGTTACCTTGCATAGCATTCCATAAGTATTAAACGAACATATGAATGTCACTTATATATATCCATCATGAGTTTCTTTGTGAGATTGTTTGCTTCTACTTACTCATCCTGGTTTGATACTTTTTTTCCTCCTATAACTGAAATGATTATAGAATAGATTTTTTGCTAATATTAAAACTCTGTCTAAAATACTTTGGGGGCATTTAAAACTCCATGCACAGAAGTGTATGAAAGCGCACAAATGCTCTGAGTTTCAGCAGTTTTAGTGCCACCGTTCAATTTTGCTGGTCTCTTGTTAATTTTTAAAAAAAAAATTTGTACATAGGTAACAAAGAGTTGCTTTTTAAGATATAAAAAGGGCTGTGAGCTAACTGTGGTATGTCTATTAATTAGGATAATACGTTGTGAGGAGCTAGAATTTCGTGTGTTTTGTATATACTCACCTGCATTCAGCTTCCCTCTCTGGATGTTGTACTTGAGTGTTTTTTTCTTTACAAATCCCACCCTGCAGTCTGCTGACAGTACCTCTTCAAGATACTTTATAGTAATCTGCACATTATGGAAAAGTAAATTTTATAAGTTTGTGCTCTACTAATGGTAGTTATTTATTACTCTATGAGTCATCTATTTTTATAACCACCTTTGGTCTACCATTTATTTTGATTTCATGTTTCTTACTAATTATGGTGATAGGGAGGGAAATACCTTGATTAGAAACTTAATATCTAAGCCAACCTGTGAATGTAAAAATTATACTGCTGCCTTGCTTCATCTACCCTGCTGGAGTGTGGAACAAATCCCTGTTTGGAATCCATGCTAGGAGATGGCCTCAAGCTGGTTTTTTTTTTTTAATAACGATAACATTGCTGTCTGTTGGCCCAAGGAGGACATTGTGGCAAGGTGCCAGCATGTAGAGAGGATTTTGATTTTTCCACTAGTTCTAATTTACTGGGCTTTTACTTACATGTGTACTGTAATTGTTTACAGACCGTGGATGGATGTATAATTTAAAGGCGTGATTTAATAAACACTTAACCCCCATCCTTGTGCTATGAATCCTATTTTTTTTCATCAGCCTGTGCATCATTCAGTGCTTACTAGAGAAACAGATTTAGTGCAAGATACATAGATATGTAAGAATTTGAAAGGTAGGCTTACAGTGGCCGCCCACAGAGTCAGCTGTGGGAAAGTGGGAAAGGACTATCTGTGTGCTGGAGATTTGAAGGATCCAGTTAGAGACCCAAAGCGCAGTGTAGTGCCCTGTGAGTCCATGTCAGGGGTCTGAGGGTCTGTGCTGGAAGCCAGGAGATAGTGGAGATGACGTGCAAGCTGAAGGTGAGGACTGGATCTCCTCTGAAGAAACAGAAGGGATTCTTCCTTCAGTGGTTCCCTTTTATACCATTCAGGTGACAACCTATTGGTTGGTGCCAGTCACACCCAGGGTGGGTCTTCTGTCTTCAGTAAATTCCTCCAGCCATATCCAGAGCTATGCTGATCCAATAGTTGGATGCTTCTTACTCTAGTTGACACAATTAAGTATCACAGATGGGTTAATAACCAGCTCTTTTTAAATTCTGATTTGTGTTGCTTTACCAACATTAAGGGCACTTTTAGCACTTGGGAGGCTAAGCAGAAACATTGCTGTGAGTTTGAAGCCAGCTTGGGCTACAAAGTGAGTTCAAGGCCAGCCTGAACTACATAGTGAAACTGTCTCAAGACAAAAAAACAAAAATCACTTTTTAAAAGAAAAGCATCAGCTTGTATCCTGTCTTTAAACATGCCTGTTTTCATTGCTAACATTTTTCCTTTTTTTTTTTTTTTTTTTGGTCTTTTTCCTTTTTATCGGTACTGGGGATCGAACTCACGATTGCCTGCTTACAAGGCAGGTGCTTATGCCACTGAGCTAAATCCCCAGCCCCTCCTTTTTTTTTTAATTTAAAGAGAATAAAAGCAAGCAAAGCAAAACAAAATAATAAAGTTAATCAGAACAGAAAAATGACAGCAGTACAGGACTTCAAAACAAGATAATAGGAAATCAGCAATGGCTACTATAATGTCCCTTGTTTTCTTCAAAATAGCTGTCCATACCATCAGACATAATAAAAGAAAACAAAATAAATGGGATAAAACCAATCAAAAGAAAAAAAAAACACCAGAAAATAGGAAATCCACAATGGCTACCATAATACATCCTGTTATTCTCAAAATAGCTGCCCATGCCATCAGACACAATAAAATCAAACAACAAGACAGAATAAAACTAAACCTAATAAAACTATGAAAATTGATAGCTTGGACCCTGGAATAAAATCCAAGGAAGCAAGAAATTAAAATTTAGGTAGCAAAGCCTTTATTTTAGGTCAGGCCTGGCAACACAGCCTCCGGTAGCCAATATGGAAGACTGCGCACCTGACAGCTTAAGGGTTTTTATCTTGTAAAACCGCAAACAGCTGCTGGTCTCACTGTACAAGGAGGTGGGTGGGTTTGTGGCGCACTACAGAACAGGAACACCACGATTACATTTCTTGGGAAGAGCAAGGTTCAGGTAAGGGTTGGGCTAACAAGCAAGTTTAGATTAGGCAAACGTCCTCTGGGGGAAGGCACATCCTGCAAACAAGCAAGTTACCCTGCAAACAAGCAAGTTTAGGAAGACATCCTGTAATTTTCTTGTAGTTAAACGTTTCTTAAGGAACAGCACATTTTATTACAGATAGGCGGAAGGGGATGGGGGGATTTACAAGGAGCTAAAACTTAAGTCTTTACTGGAAATGGAATTTTAATCTCTATTGAAACAGCACATACAGAACAGGAAGGAGGCGCATTGGTTAGAGCTAGGCCACAACAAAAACAATACAAGAATTCAAAAACAAGATAATAGGAAATTAACAATGGTTACCACCTTCCCTTTTTAAATGTTTCCTCCTCATCACTTTCGTAATATCTACTGTACATTTTGGATCCGTTAACACCTTCAGTTTTTCATGCTGAGATAACATGTTCAAATAAGTCCATTTCACCCAGGAACATGATATCAAGTTGCATCCATTTATCTACAAGAGCCTCAAGAATATCTTTCTTTAAAACTTAGTATCTTTCTATTGTGTGAAAATACCATATCTTTCTGATCCATTCTGTGGTTGATGGGCAAGTTACTCTTGTTTTTTTCCTGGTTTCCTGTTGCATGGAACATAGTTTTCTGTCCTTTCAGTCTGTGAATTTCCTTTTGAGTTAAATGTGTTTGCCAGCTTTCAATGGAGTTTTAAATTTCCTGGTTATCTTTTTGAATCTATTTGTAATTCCTTCCTATGTTGTTCATTCAAGGTCTCCATCATTTTCCTATGTTCCTCTTTTTTTAAAATTTATGTCTTCTTGCATTTGCTCAGCAGTTCTTTATATGTTTGCAACTTCTTCTTTTACTTGAGATATTTCTGATCTGATTACTTGTACAGCTTCATGAAGTTGTTTCTTTACTTCAGTTGCTATACTTTCAGGGATTTCTGGTGTGAAACTTCCACTTTATTCCATGTCCGTGTCTCCCAAACTTGTTCTGTGTGGCCTGGAGGTCTGAGATCGCCTTTTGTTATTTTGTCTTGATATTTTCCTGGGTTCCTCCTGACAAGCTGCTTGTGGGGTCCCAGGCACTTCCCATGTTGGCTGCCCTATGGCAGTGTAGGAAAGTGGGCCAAGGAGCTGGGTTTCTCTGAACCCAGGTTCCCAAGGAGGCAGTGGGACGTGGGGCAGGCTGCTTCACACCCATGTGGCTAAACTGAGCTGCCCTGATAACCAAGGGTACGTGGTGGCAGGGCTGCTGCTTCTCTCAGCCTGCGTGGCTACACCAGGACTCAGCAGGTGCACAGGGCTGTGTGTTATTTGTCTGATCCTGCCTGCCCATGTTGGCTGCCCACAGGAAGCAAGCATCTCCAATGGTGGCCTGCAGGCGCACGGGGCTTTTTCTCCCTGCCCATGCTGGTAACCTGAAGGAAGCAGGCTTTCTGATGGCTGTGCTGGTTGCCTCCCTTGCTGGCTTTTTAAGACAGGTTCTCCCTGTGTTGTCTAGGTGGTCCCAAACTCCTGGGCTGAAGCCATCCTTGTACCTTAGTGAGTAGCTGGTACTACAGGTGTGTACCACTGTGCTAGGCCTACTAATATTTTTGCATGTTGTAATTTTGGGTGGAAACTTGCCAGTGCCAGTCATATAGGGGATGAATGAGTTTGAAATCCCATCATCCCTGCCCCAAATACCTAGAAATGCTAGGAACATACAACAAGTATCCTGTAGACAGGGCTGATCTTACTAGTAGGAGAATCCCCAGAAGCTTAGCGCAGACAGAGGCTGATTATGAGAGCAATGAAATTTATAGTAGAAGTAGAACCCTCTGGGAGCCTTATTGTCTCCAGAAAAAATGCGCTAAGAAAACCCAGGTGTGTGCACAAATAAGCTGGGCTTCAGGTAGAGAAACATGTTTCTCCAGAGCATGTTTAATCTGGGATTCATAAACAAAAATTATATAAAAATTGACACAGCTCAGTAAAACTAGTAGATATGCAACAGAAGCAAACACTGGCCACTGCAGAAATTCACTTTTCATCCAGGATCTGTGAGTGTCCTATAAGGCCCCACTGACTGTGCATTTAAAATAACAAATTACACAATAATGACCCAGTGTTTCAATATGAGTGAAAGTCAAGATTTTCAAAATGGATTAGACCCCAAGGATTTCAGACAAAAGTTGAGTAAAATGACAGATGCTTTGACAGGAATTTTAAAAACTAGACATAAAAGATTTAAATAATATTTAGCAAGAATCAATATTGTTAAAATGCCCTATTCAAAGTGATCTATAAATTCAATGTGATTTCTAACAAAATATGAATGACATTCTTCACAGAACTAGGAACAAAACCTGAAATCCATATGGAATCACATAAAATCCTGAATAGTCAAAACAATCTCAAGCAAAAAAGAACAAAATGAGAGACACTACACTACTTCACTGTAAAACACATACTGCAAAGCCAAGTAACTAAGTCAGTATAGACGTGTAGCACAGAATAAAGACCATCTCCAGCCAGCTGATTTTCAGTATAGGTGGCAGGACATGCATGGGAGAAGGGACAGTCATTTCATTAAGTGGTGCTGGGAAAACTGAATGTGCATGGAGAAGAATGAAATTAGACCCTATCTTTTACTCATGCAGAAATCAAGTTGAAATGAATACAGAATTTAAGACATAAAACTAGAAGAAAACAGAGAGAATGCTTCAGGAAACCGTAGAGTCAAGACAACCAACACAATGGAAGAGATACTTGCAAACTATAAATCTGACAAACAGTTAATATCCAAAATATACAAGAAACTAAAACAATTCAATAGGAAAAAAATGGACAATAGATCAACATTGACATTTCTCAAAACCATACATGCAGGTGTCCAACAGGTATATGAAATAATATGCATAGCACTGATCAGAAAAATGCAAATGGAAATCACAGTGGCAAAATGGGAGAAAAATGCAACCAGGCAGATTTTTCTAGAAACGTATTAGATGCTCGTGTTTATAGCTGCACAGTTAGGGCAGCTAAATCTTGGAAGCAGCTTATAAGGCCATCAACAAAGAATTGATAAAGGAAGTGTGGTATTCATACATAAGTACTCAACCATAAAGAAGGATAAATTTGAGTCATTTGGAGGAAAATAGATGCACCTGTAGACCATTACGCTCAGTGAAATAATCAGACACAGGTTAAATATTGGCATGGTTTCTCTTATATGACAACTCAAAGCATGAATAACTTGAAAAGCAAAGTACAAGATTGTAGGTTATAGGAAACTGGGAGGTACACCATTTGCAGATGGGAAGGGGATCTAGGAATGGAGAGAGGGGAGGTGAAAGGGAATTAAGGATTCAGGTAAAACGGATTAAGATGGGATACATGCATGTACCAACTCCCCATGGTGATTGTGTTTATTATGTATCACAAACAGATACTGATAAAATAATTAACTACAATAAATAATAAAGCTATTGTTAGTCTTATTT